AATACAAGTTAAAACCACAAATCACACCAACAATAAACGATGAAAAATACCAAGATTGGGGAGGAGGTGAACAGATGAACTCACATACATGCCTGGGAATTACGAGAAATAAAGGCATCGTGTAGGACCAGCAATTCCACACGTGGATATTTATTCAACAGAAATGCACACGTTTGTTCATCCAAAACATCACCTAGCAAGGTCACTGCAACACTATTCACAGAAACTCAGACCTGGGAGCTGTCTCAGACTGGAATGACCACTGAGACGGAATGAACACATGTGGGCCAGCCACCCCATATGATATGGATAAACCTCACCAACATAATGTTGAGCAAAACAGCCAGATACAAGAATACGTGACCCCATTTACAGAAGGTACAAAAGACAGGCTCAGCTAAGCTGCACTGTCAGAAATTATGACAGCTGAGCCCCTTTGGCAAAGTGGCAAGTAGAAGGGCACAGACGAGGGCATTCTGGGGGCCTGTCCATGCTCCGTTTCTCAGTCTGAGTGTTGGTTACCCAGGTGTATCCAGCTGGTGACAATTCACTCAAACGTGTCTCTCACATGAGTACCTTTTTCCCTATATGTAGCATATGTCAATAAAAGTTAAATAAGTAAAAATCAACCGAGATGGTGAGGAAAAGGGCACTGGATAGATCTGATTACTTGGAGAAGAGAAAAATCAGATGCCACAGTATTTTCAGACAAGAGACTACAATAAACTGAGAGCATCAGGTCCTGCATAAGCTCAGGAATCAGCAGAGGAAACGATGCGACTCTGGAGCTGAGATACATTTGTCATGTGAGCACAGAGCACGCATTACAAATATTCAAAACTCACCTATTTCCCCCCACATTGCAAAAGTGTAAATTCTAAAACACAAAAACCCATTCTATAAACATGTCTGCAGGGCAGTAAGCGAACACGCACAGGATTGCGGGGAGGTCCAGTACCTGGGGAGAGGCCGTCTTGGCCACGGGAGCGGCTATCCTGGGCGATTTCTGCCCCAGGGAGGACACTGGGCCGGGGCCGCCATGCGCAGACCGCCCTGCAGAACAAGACGTCAGTTAGAACAGCCACATTTACTCCCGATGCTCTTCCCTCAAATAACAGCCAGTTTCTCACGGTCCCTGGCCCCTTTCATCATCTTGGTTAGCAAGAGTGATGTCCACAGTTGTGTTAGCCCCCGTTCCAAGGTAACTAAAAAGCACGCCTTACATTTTTAGTTGGGAAATTCTTTTGTAAAGCAGATAAAACTCCTGGTCACAGGCAGGAGTACTGTGGGCAGGCCCAGGCCAGTCACCTGGCCCCCTTCCTCCTCACAGAGGCTCCGGTGCACCTCAGGGAGCTGGGCACAGTTTTAACTGTCAGATGAGACCAAGGACCCATCACCTGTAAGAACTCACAGGGCCGCCGGACCCTCCTGGGAGCCTCTCACACAGGCTCGCCCGCTGCGTGTTAGAATCAGCAGGGGAACTTTTTCAATTCCCAGTCAGGTACATACCCGGGTTATGAGTTTGATGCAGTTGGGGAGTGTGCAGAAGGCAACCAATCGATGTTTCTCCCTCACACTGATTTTCTTTCTCTCCCTCCCTCCCTCCCTCTCGGCATGTCCTTAGGTGAGGATAAAAATAAAATACTAAAAATAAAAATACACACACCCCAAAACCCCAAGTGTCACTCCCGAGTCTGATTACACTACTAGGGGATGGATTCCCCATGAGTCTCGTGTGCAACTGGGACTGAACACCAATAAACCAGGACGCCCCAAACTTTAAGAATTAAATAATGGCACAGTGTGGGCAGATGTGGGTGGTGAGCGGCAGGAAGTGAGAAAGTAAAGGTGCACTAAGATTCCAGTTTCCTCTCCCACACCACAGAGACGTGGAAAGACTAAGGCAAGGCTTCTGAACGTTTGGGTCTTATCCGATGCCTTCAGAACCTCAGGAAAAGGCCTGGCAAACTCCGCCATGCAGCCTTCCTCCTGAGCAGCAGGTGGAGAGAGGTGATTTCAGGCATCTCACAGCTCAATGCACACTCGACATTTTCCAAAATAAAACTATTCCGGTCACACAAACACCAATGGTCACCTAAATGTCTGGCTAGGCATTCCCACTGGCATGCATGACAATGACCAAGTTAGAAACGGAGACAGGTCTGGCAACCACCACCTTAACCAACGGACCAAAGACCATCACCACGTCAGGACAAGCCAACAAGGCGGTGTTACTGCTCAAAACGCTTAACCTGAACCTCGTCATGCAGGACCAGTAGGTCCAAAGTGAGGGACCGTCCACAAACCTACTGGCCTGACCTCTCTCAAAAGGTCAGTGCTGTGCGGGCAAAAAGGTGGCAAATGTAGGAGACTGAGCCTGAGACCAGTTGGAATATTGTGGTCCCGGATTCGCTCCCCCATTATGGCGGTAACTGTGGAAATGTGCATATGGGGGTAGATTATTGTTAAATTCCCTGCAGTGACATCGGATTGTGTGCCCCCGTTTTTAGTAGATATAGTTAAGTACTTAGATGTGAAGTGTTTCCTGTTTTAATGAACTCTCAAAGGTTTTAGGAAAAAATATATTAAAACAAATGGTGCACAATGTTAGCAAGTGTTGCATTTTGCTGAAGGTTATAGTATTCACTGTATAATTTTTGCAACATTTCTGCAGGTTTGATAGGGAAAAAAAGATAATTTGCTCATGGAGTTTCACGATGCACTTCAACCTGGCTATAATTATTTCCACCGTCATCTTTATCTAAGAAACCTGCCTACAGTAGGGCTGAGTGTGAAAATTCAAGACAGCCACTACAGGCAATAGCGTGACAGCCACTGTGGCTTAAAGACTTGTTCTGTTCTAGCCCTTCACAGGGGCAGGCTCCCAGGGAAGATCAAGGCTGGACAACAACTCGAATCACCCAGTGTCAAGTGCACAGGAGGAATGTCAGAGGTGTGGGAGCCCTAGGCCACTGCGAACCCTCCCAACGCAGAGAGCAGAGTGCGCCACAGCACGTCAGTGTGATACAGGAGGCACAAAAAAACAACCACGTCCAACTACCTTAGCCGGGCTTCTCAACGACTGAGAGATGCTAATCTGAGAGCTCTAAAGCAGGGTATTCCACCTTACCTGATGCTGAGGGGTGGGCGGAGGACTTGGCTGACGCGGAGCCAGATGGTGCTGAGAGGGGCGTGGGGTGGCTGAGAGGTCCGGAAGAAGCTGGCTTGGCGGCGGAGAAGGGCAGCATCGGGGGTGTGCTCAGTGAGCTGTTAGGAGCAGAGGCAGCCACGGCAGAGAACCTGAGAATGACAGCCCGAATGCATCAGAACAGCCTGCTGAATGAAGACTCTTCCACGCTGCTCATGAGCAGTCATCAAACCATAACCTACTATCCACACCTTTTAGCCTTCGAGAAGGGTAAATGTTTAGCCACTTTTTATAAAAGGTGAAAGGTGCAAGAAACATTGATCTGACCTTCTACTTATTTAGGAACGAGTTAGTCAATAAAAATACCAAATAAATACTTAACAGGAAAACGAAGCTAAGTCTACCATGATATGAACTATTTCCTACTCTATCAAGCTGAGTAGAGCAAAAAGGGTGGGACTCAGCTATGCTTAGGGGAGCTCAGTGCCCTCTTTTCCCAACAACACTACTGAGAACTCGTGTGGGTGACCCCGCCTGAGGAGAGGAGGAGAAAGAGGGAGCAGGCCACCCACTTTGGGATGTTCAGTCTCGGGAAATGCCAGGGAAGTTCCACCTAGAGAGCCAACGTCTGCAGACAACCTAACACCCAGCATTAGATGACTGGGACAATAAATTAAAATGTCATCGGCAACGACAATGGTGGCAGCAGCGACAGCAGCGGTAACACCAGAGGAGCGTGGGAGTGCCGGGAGTGTTTACACCAGATGGCTGTCTTGGGAAGGGCTACGAGGTCTAAGGAATCACTTTGTTCAAGAGGCTACAGTCCAGCAGGGAGACCCCCAGCAGCAGATGAAGAAGTAAGAAGATGAGTGAGCTGGCAGATCCGGATCTGGAGGGAACGGGGATACCACGTTATGAAGTTTGGCTGTACTCAGAGCAATGAGAAGCCACAGGGCTGCCAAGCAGGAGGCATTGTAACCGATGTGAACACAATGTCACTGGTCACTGGTGGCCGCGTAGAAAACAGTGTAGAGAGTCAAGGGTGGGCAAGAGAGTCACTTCGCCTGCAGAATATATGCTTCGTATGGCTGCTTTTTAAAAATAAGGGGCATCTCCTACATTTGAAACCCAAAGAAGCAAAAAAGTATTTAAATATAAATCTCTAATAATAATAAAAAACTTGAGAGACCCTTCTGGCACAAATGAAATGCAAACCTTTTGTTATTCGGATTTTTGCCATTTGCTAGTATTACTTTAGAAAAAAATGAAAAACAAACACACACACAAACGAACAAGAAACCCCAGGGGAAGTCACTGAGTAACTGCACTCCAGCAACTGTTTTCAGTAAATAACATGGGCACTGCCACCCGCCCTCCGGAAAAATCAAACTCGGTGCCACTCACTTGTCGCCGAGGTTGAGCTTGACAGCAGAGGCCGAGGGTGGGAAGGAGGGCTTCAATCCAAGGCCGGGAGTGGACGCGCTTGGCATCGGGGTGCTTTCCAAGGCAGGCTTAAAGCCCGAGGACCCAAAGGAGAAGGAGGCGGCGGCGGGGGCCCCCGGGGAGGCCGCGGGGGCGGGCGCCAGGGGGGCTTGAGGAGCGAATGAAAAGGCACCGGAGCCCACTGCTGCTTTGGAGGCCTCAGAACCACTGGGGTACGGAGGGGGCTCCCCAGCAGCAGACCCAGGTGATTTCAAGGACGAAGAACCAAAGGAGAAGCCGGCAGAGGCCCCCGCGGCAGAGGGCAGGGAGAAGGCGGCGGCGGGGGCAGCCGGCAGGGACGGCGGGACGGAGACAGGAGCTGCGGTGGAAGCCTCGGGTTTCTGCGGGACGGGCGAGGTCGGGGTGGTGGGAATGCTTCCTGCGGTGAGGAGGGGGGAGAGGAGAGACGAGTTAGCAGGGTAACGGGAGAGGGCCACATGACAGGCCCGCGGAAAGGGTTTGTGGCAGAAGGAAGCCAGGAATAAAGGTCCTGGCGCACGAAGGAGAAAGAAACACAGGAGATGGAGGTGCTGGTTCACGTTCACAGCAAACGCTCCATGGATTACAGAACTTTGAAGGAAAAGGAAACGGGAAAGACGTTAGACTAACAGCACTTTGTGGATGCCAGCTGAGTAATACAGGAAAAGTACACTTCTCACTGTGAAAAGCAAGTCATCCTGCGACATTTCATCCCAATCAGGAAAGCTTGTAATTCAGATCTCTACCTGTCCGTCACTGACAGCCAGTTCAGGTGACTAAAAATACATGTCATTCTTAACAGCTACCAGGCACTCAGTGTAGGAAAGTACAGTCATTACTTAAGCAATCCCTCTTGATTAAGGCTGCCCTTAGGATTCTGACCATACACTGCCCGGTCCTACACCAGGCATTGCTGGTGAACTGCCTTCTGGGGCCCAAATGGCCGAGCTGCCCTCTCCTCTGAAGTGAAGTGCAGGTTGGAGAATACCACTCGTGAGTGAGGGAAGGCAAGTGTGCGAGTGTTTATTCTAAGAAAAACGAGTCCCCGGCACAGGAAGAATGACTGTGCCGAGGTAACCGTATTCTCGCAGATTTCCCTCCTTGGGAAGAGCCCTCTGTGCCAAAGGGAGACAGACCTGTCGACCTGGGCTGGCGCTCTCCCTCCAACGGGAGCGGCTCTGGGATCTTGATGAGGGACCTCGCCCCGGGATTCTGGTTGATCATGTAAAACGGACAGAGCACACCATCGGTCGAGAGTAACAGAAGAACCGGAGCCGGAGGAAGAGTCTTCTCATCAGCTGTTAAAAAAAGAGAACAAAAGTGAAGGAAGAGGGAAAGCCTGCCTGAGCCAGAGGGGCTGACCGCCCACAGCTCCAGGCCGCTCCCTCGGTCCAAGTCTCAATGGCGGTCTCCCAATCCCCCTTCCCGAGCCGCTGCCTGGGGCAGATGGCCACCGGCTGCCAGGCCTGCAGGGAGGCTCCTCAGCGATGGCCACTGTCCGCCAGGCCCACGTGGAGGCCCAGCCGCCCGGGAGCAGCCCGGAGTCTCCTAAAGCTCCTGATTTTCCCGAGGGCCTCGGTGTTAGGTAGGTCAGCGCTCCCCTGACCAAGACAGGGGTCTCCAGGAAAGTGGCTGGTTGGGTAGGAGAGTGAGACTAGACTCTAAAAAACAGAGGAGGCACAAAGGTGAGCCAAACTACACTCACTCGCAGCTGAATCCCAAGCACGGATTTTGTCAAGTAAGACTTCAAGAGACCTGGAGTAAAAGAGCTAATCGCACCAATAACCTGACCCAGGAAAGGATGAGGAACATTGCGGTGCCTGACGGGGACCCTCTCTAACTGAAGCCCCAAAGAACATGGCTTCCCTGCACTGCGCGGCCCACGGGCCTGCGGCTCTGCCCAGCTCCAGCCGGGAGCAGCTCCACGCAGAGCACACTCAGGCCCAGTTCAGAGGCCCCGCGCCTGCGGTCTCCATTATCCAGTCTGTGCCTTCAAACCAAGTGCTGCCACGCAGACCCAGCCTAGGGCACTGCTCCCTGGGCAGGCCCCTGGGAACTGGAATGGGCAGAGAAACAAAACTGAAACCCTGGGTGTACTAGACTTCCACCTCATCCTGAAGTTTAAAGACACAGGCAGATGCGAGCGCGTCTGGCCCTGGTCTCTCCCATAAGTGTCCATGACAATTAGTTCAGTGCTGTCACATGTGCCATCACATGCACTTCAAGGAGCAATGTGCTACCAGTTCACGGTGCCCAGCAGAGCAGATTCCGCCTGAACATGGAGAATGGACTTAAAACGTTAACCAGCGTCAGCAATGATGTGCTGAGCGACGTCAGGCTGCACTTACTGAGGGCAATTTCCACCTGGTTAGTATAGTCTATGGCCACTCCCATGGGCAGGGAGTCGTCATTCTTGTCTGTCACAGGCAGTTCGGCTCGACTAGAGTCCTCGAGGAGCCACGATTCCCAATTAATCTGGAAAAGAGAAGGGGAAAGGCACGGCGGTCAACGCTCTGCGCTGGCCCCCCGCACCGCGCAGGCAGGAGAGAGGACAACGTGCTGGGTACTCAGGTGTGGACGGAGACCGAAATCTGGGGAGAGTCTAAAAGTCACGACTATGCCATGAAGCAAGAGGTTCAATTCCCACCCGAGAAATTAACTGCTCTCACTGGAAGCCCATTAAAAGGGATGTGCCCTCATCTAATCCTTACCCGCATAATCAATTCCCTCCCGCACCTTTCTCAGAAGTTCCCTCCAGAAGTGACAAATGAGAGGAATTTACCTGGTCGCTCTGTCGGGCAAGGATGCTGACTTCTGTGGAAGCCGCAGATGCCGCCAGCACTAAATCCCTTCAGAGAACAAAACCGGAAGGTGGTGACATTACAACCCAGAGCGATTCCAGCCCACCCTGAGCCCGCGGACACAGCCCTGAGCGCCGCCTGGAGGTGTCGGGAGGACAGCACGTTTCTGTGGCTGAAGAAAGGTGAGATTCTCAGGTGTAAACCTCAACTCTTAGCTCACAGGATAAATCCCTGGACACGTGGTCAACTACCTGCCGACCTCAGACAAGGGAGCCACGCAGAATCTAGTCGGAATCCCCAGTGAGCACAGCCCTCCAGACGGAGCAGTCCGGGGAGAGGAACGGGAGCCTGGCTCCAAGCCCTCTCTCCGAGGGAGCTCCCAGGGGCAGCTTGTCTTTATTTCTTTCTGTTAATTCTCGCCTGAGGGTATTTTCCCACTGATTTTTAGGGAGAGTAGAAAAGGGGGTGGGGGAGAGGAACATTGATGTAAGAGAAACATGGATTGGTTGCCTCTTGAACGCGCCCCAAATGGGGCAAAGATTGAACCTGCATCCCAGACATGTGGCCTTGACTGGGTATTGAACCTGAGACCCTTTGGTGTACTGGCTGACACTCTATCCACTGAGCCACACTGGCCTGGGCTCAAGGGCAACTTTTTTTAAAAAAAATTATATTTTATTGATTTTTTTACAGAGAGGAAGGGAGAGGGATAGAGGGTTAGAAACATCGATGAGAGAGAAACATTGATCAGCTGCCTCCTGCACACCCCCTACTGGGGATGTGCCTGCAACCAAGGTACACTCCCCGGCCTGGAATCGAAACCGGGACCTCTCAGTCCACAGGCTGACACTCTGTCCACTGAGCCAAATCCGTTTCAGCAAGGGCAACTATTAATATGCACCTTGGATATCAGTATTTTCACAAATTGTCACTGGGTTGCTAAGAAAAGGGGATTTTTAAGATTAGCACATACCTGAACTAAAGAATTCAGGCTAGGAAAGTAGAGGAGGAGCCGGAAAGGCATTAACTAGCATCAGCTGCAAATATGTGCATGACCCCTCGGCCTCTGCTTCCCTCATACACAAACAGCTGCAGAGCCACGGCAGCGCCTCGGGGAGAGCTGGGGGGGGAGGGTGAGGGTGGGGGGGGGGGAGCTCACCATTCCTCCACGTGGCTGAGCCTCGGGGAGAGCTGGGGTGTGTGTGTGGGGGCTCACCATTCCTCCACGTGGCTGAGCCTCGGGGAGAGCTGGGGGGACTCACCATTCCTCCACGTGGCTGAGGTAGTAGTGGTGCTGCCTCTCCGTGCAGCAGCCGTAGCAGGGCTCCATGAAGTTCACGAACACCTCTGGGTGCTTTTCATCTTTTTTCTACAACACACAGAGTGAGAAAAACCTCAGGGGCAACTTTCCCTTAGCCCTACACAGCGAATGGCTCTCAAATGAGAAAACCATTGAAGTTTTGTGAGAAAATTTGCTCAAAACCTATGTCCAAATGTACAGACACGACATAAAGCAGCACCGTGTAACAGAAAGAACGGGAATGATGGCCGCCAACCAAACTGGACTCACACTGCCTGTCTGCCACTTCTGGCCGGTGGACAAACATGGACAGATTACTCAACCTCTGATTCTCAGTCTTCTCACACATGTAACATAGCTACTAAATGACATCAGAGGCTGTTGTAAATATGAAAGGAAACGATACATAGAAAGTTTAGCCCGCTACAAAGAAAGTGAGCCCTCAATAAACACACTAGCATGTGTTTATTGAGGGCTCGCCAGAAATAGAAATCTTAATGATATCTTGAAATAAGGAATACATTTAATACATTCATGAGTTGCATAATAACATTTCAAACAACCAACCACACGTTATGAAGGTGACCCCTTAAGATTATACCAAAGCTGAAAAATTCCTGTTGACCAGTGACACTGTAGCCAGAACACCTTAGCCATAATGGTAACACAAATGGTGTCACGGCTGCCTACGGTGTGCAGTACAATGACATGCCAAACAACTCTATAATCTAGGAGCTGTCGGGGAACAGAATCTGCCACCCCAAAATGACACTTGGCAGAGGGTTATTCTCCCTCCCCTACTGAGCAACGGGCTGCACCACACAGCCAGGCGGGCAGTAGGCAGACCACTGGGTTTGTGCAAGTGCAGACGCTATAATGATGCCGCTCAGAACACAGACCTGCAGTTGGGTGAGGTGTAACCGTAAACATATTTTAGAAATTCAACTGTATCAGGAACCCAAGTGCACAACAGAGCTACAGCAATCTGTTGACCGCCAAATCACATTACATTTGACATAGAAATTTGCCTGCAATTTACTACTAAGTTAAAGCAAGGTTGCAAAACAGAATGGAAGTGTAACTCTCACTTTTATTGTGTTTAGACATTGATTTCTGTATTTTCAGATGTTTTCCTGGACTTTTAAAGAGAGTATGATTTGGAAATGTAAGTCCGGCCTCATTAGTCTTTGTTTCAATGCTACTGCAATTAATAAGACCGGGTAGATCCTAGCGTTCTTTCTTTCTTCAGCTGACTCCCTCCCTCCTTCCCTTGGTTCCCTGCTCCGATGGCCCCTCCTCAGAGGCCCTCCTCGACCACCCCATCTCTCTGCCCCAGGCC